AATAATGGGTTTTAAAAATAAATAGACAAAATATGTTATTACACTCATTACCAAGTAATGAGTTACAATGCCACACAGTATGCATGTTTGGCTACAAAACCGACTGTTTTGAACTGTTGTCTGTCATAAAATAATAATAAAATAACAAAATAAGAATATCGTGTGTTGATTTAACTACAGGATGAGATAAAAAAATGGAACCAACTTCAGACTGCTGTCATTTCTAAGCCACTCGTCCGACAGCGGTTAAAATTTGTCCAGTGACAGCCCATTATATTGTTTACAAGCGTACAAATGCATTTTGATGAGAACTTTCCAGAAAACAATTAAAAAACATTATGACCTACAAATACCGAATATCGGGAAGTACCGTTATATGGGGACTATACCAAAACGTGAACCGATATTTCAATACCAACCATCCTAGACACAATACAAATTATTCTGCTAAATTTTGACGCTCTACGTCAAATAATGTGGCCTGTATCGTGATTTCAACAGACAGACAGATAGACGGACATCGTTAAATCGACTTAGAATTCTATGCTGATTATGAATATATATACATTATGGGGTCTACGACGAATATTTAGGGGTGTTACAAACGGCATGACAAAGTCAATATACCCTCCTTTCCAAGGTGGAGGGTATAAAAAGGTGTTCGTGATGGAATTCAAGCGTGATAGTGTGATTTCTTTATATTGGGCTGGAAAACCACAAGTGGGTATCGTTAGAGCACGCCAGCATTTAAATGTGAATGAATCTTTTGTGTCTCTTACAATCGCTCGTTACCGTGATACTGGTAGTGTAGCACGACGTCAAGGAAGTGGACGGAAGAAAAGAGCAACATCAGCAGAAATGGTTCGAAAAGTAAAGAAGCGAATTGACCAAAACCCGCGTTGCAGTGGCCGAAAAATGACTCGTGAGCTGAACATATCGCAATATTCCATTTGGCAAATGTTGAAAAATGAGTTCGGGGTAAAGCCATTGAAATTCCAAAAAGTGCAAGAACTTACACCGCAACAGAAAGAAAATAGACACAAAAGAGCTAAAGAGTTGCTTCGCTTGGCCGAAAGTGGTGAACTGACGAATTTGGTTTTCTCCGATGAGAAAATATTCGTTGTCCAGCAGTTTGTAAACAAACAAAAAGATCGTGTTTACTTGCCAAAGAGCTCAGCTGAAAATGTGCACCCTCGGTTGGCCCCCAGATGGTGGGGGCCGCCATAACAGCCGAAGGTCGCTCTCCGCTCGTATTAATCGACCGCGGCATCAGAATAAATGCCGAATATTATGGCGCAAATATTTTGGAGGGTGTTTAAAAGCCTTGGGCACGCAAACATTTTGGCCACAGATCTTGAACATTCCAAAAGGACTCAGCACCATCGCAACCAAGAATGGTTACAAAATGAGGTTCCTCGCTTCATTTCCAGCGCACACACGTGCGCACACGAGTGACGGTTTAAAGGCCATAATTCGTGCCTATTTCCGACATTTTTTGCTTTCATTGAAAAAATTAAAAAAAAATTGTGGCGTTTGACTTTGTTGCAGTTTTTTTATCTCGCCCTGTATTGCTTAGTCTGATATTACCAAGTAAGATTATTATTCACGAATTTAAAAAGAGTGGTTGCAAATTCGAATTGCCTTATTGCCTTCTCGCCGTCTATTGATACTTCTAATTTGATTTCGTGTATTTTCAATGCTCTGTATTTCTACAGATTTTTACATATAACTTAAAGAAAACAAATAAACAAGTAAGCAAAGGCTACAGTCGAGCGGGGCCGACCGTTGAATACCCTACAACACTATAATAAACGATACAGTTTATATAGGCGAGATATTCGAAAGAATTCCACAAGATATTGTGACAAATAATAAAAGAAAACCATCAGGTTTCGTTCTCTAATTTTCAAATAATAGCAACTTAAACTAATTTGCTCATTTCCAATTTATTAGTAGATTTTGCACGTAAATGGTCTTCCTAGATCTGGAACTAATATTTCTCAAAGACCTATAATCTCTCAGAAGTGGCAAAAGATTAACATTTTTTATTGGTTTTTGACTGAAACGCATCTATATGAGATACAGACATTTGACTATATTCTTCAACGAAATCAACGTTAACGAAATAGTCAGAAGTGCCTCTTTCCTGTATTTGTGAATTCTCCAAAAAGTCATTGGAATGGACATTTTCGTATTTTGTCTACAAAAGTTGGCAAACTATTTCACACATTGAATATTTTTGGATGGCCATCCAAAACTGCTTGGCTTTTGTAATGTTCGGTAACCCCCATTCAAATGTGCGTGAGGATCGGGTGATAATTAAGACCTGCAGACAGTTTTGCAGTTTTTTGGTCCATTTCAACCCCTAAACATTTGGCGATCATCTCCAAAAGAAATAGGGTTCTATTCTGACTCAATCCCCACCTCCATTCTAAATTTCGTGAAGATCGGGCCATAATTGCGACCTGTAGAGTGATTACAAATTAACATGGACAGACGGACAGACGGACGGACGGACATACATAGCTAGATCGACTCAGCTCGGCGAGCTAGGAAGATCCATATATACTTTCCTATATGGGAAACCAATATTTCGAGGTGTTACATAAATTCTGGCCCAATCAAACTTATAATACCCCCAACACATAGTGTTGTAGGGTATAAAAAATGCAGCGGCCGGGCCGAACTTTTAATATCCTCCACCAATTGCAAAAAATGCCGTCGAAAAATACCGCTCAAAGGAAAATCGTTATATGGGGGCTATACGATGACGTGGTCCTGAAATAGCATTCCGATTAAAAATCTCGCTAAAATCATCAAAATACTGAATATTAGAAGGTACCAATATATGGGGGATATACGATATCATGGACCTATATAGACAATTCTCTTCCAGGGGGCAAAGTACTCAGAAGGAACTCCTGGTGTTCATTTTCAGACAATTCCATTGAAAAATTTGGCTAAAATCATCAAAAGACCGAATATTGGGAGGTACCGTTTTATGGGGGATACACGATATCGTGGACCTATATAGAGAATTCTCTCCCAGGGGGTAAAGTTCTCACAAGGAACTCCTTTTGTAGATTTTCAGACAATTCCAATGAAAAATGTGGCTAAAATCATCAAAATACCGAATATCGGGGATACCGTTATATTGGGGCTATAGGATATCGTGGACCCATATAGACTCTAGCGTGATAACAACAGACGGACGGTTGGACAGGGCTAAATCGTCTTAGAATTCAACGCTGATCAAGAATGTATATACTTTGTTGGGTCTAAATTTATTATTTCGATGAGTTACAAACGGAATGACCTCCATACTATGAATGGTGGAGGGTATAACAAGTTAAGAAGTATCAGCGGTTATTGCCGACTGATGTATACCCTCCGCCGATGTTGGATTATTTAAATTTATGTTGACTTCTGTTATGATTATTCGTATTGTTGACCCTCTATAGAGTAGGTTCCAAAGGAAAGGGCCAATATTGTCCATTTCGTATAGTCCGTCACTTTATATGAGATATGTAATATTTTTTAGAAAATGTTGAAATGTACGCGAGGTACCAGATATTGTCGACCGAAGTATTTCGTTTCCATACTTCATTTAGCAGAGATAAAAAAATTGCTATTGCAAAATTAGAAGAAAATCGATCATTTGTATCCAATTTTATGCGAAATCATAAATTGCGATAAATTCCATATTCATCTCAGGTTTTTGGTTAAGAATAATATTTAGAAATAGCAAGCTATACAGAACCGCTGCCATGTTTCGCAAGTTATGACAGCTTTTGAGGGTTTTGTTTTTCAAAATCTTGAGTCATATGTGGTGGAGGTACCAGAAGAAATGGTTTGATCTCTGCCTTCTTTATAAGAGATCTTGTATTAGAGGAAATATTGAGATGCAGCAAGTGTTAATTTAATCGGATATTAATTTCTCATTTGATGAACTTCATGGATATTTAAAATCTTGACACTTTGTGGGGGAGGTATCCGAAGGAGTGGACCAATATATCTCATCTTAACAACAGATCTTGTGTCAGTAAAAATAATGGGATGTCTGAAATATGAAGAGAACCGGATGCTTATTTCGGATTTTATATTGGTTTTGGTTATTCAAAATTTTGACCCTTTTGTGGGAATGGTCCGGTCTCTACCATCAGATCATGTGTTGATAGAAATATTGAGATTTGTCAAGTCTGAATGGGATCGGATGTTAACTTTGTGTTTTATGAGCTTCATGGATATTCAAATTTTTGACCCTCTGTGAGGGAGGTACCACAGGGAGTGGACCGATATATTCCATCTTCACACCAGACCTTGGGTAAATAAAAAAATTATGATGTGTGTAATATGAAAATAATCGGACTGTTACAACACATTTTATGAGAGTTATAATTATTCAAAATATTTACTCTTTGTGGGGGAGGTACTTGATGGAGTGAACCGATATTGTCCATTTTAGCACCTGACCTTGCACTGATGCACATATTAGGATTTGCAAAGTTGGACTAAAATCGGATTATCCTTTCTCGTTGTGTGCAGTAAATTATTTTCTTTGAAAATTTCGACTTTTTGTGGGGGAGGTACCAGAAGGAGGAATATTACCCACCTTCGAACTCGATCTAAGTTTGATAATAATATTACTATGTAACAAGTTTGGACCAAATCGGATACTCCCTTCAAGAGTTATCGTGCTCACCAGTCAGACAGACGGATGGACATATTATACCCTCTCTAGCCATATGGCTGAGGGTTTTAAAAATATTGTATATTATTATAAAGAAAAAGCTTAATAAAGCTTATTCTACAATTACATGTATGAGCTTTAAATAAGGGTTCAATTTCGATTATTCTATATTTTTTACACAAACTTTTTTCAATGTTTTCTCAAGCGTAATGCTTGGTTTCTTCAGATTATTGTAATATTGTTCTCAAGCTATTTTGGTATGTTGGGCAGTCTTCATGGCTGACCTTATATAGTCTTTGCTTCAACCTTCAAATAATTCTAATGGAACACAGAAATTCTATATATTTTTTGTTGACATAAATATAAATGTTTATGATTAGCTAATACTATCTACAGTTGTTGGCGGGGCTATCAAAGTCTCCGCATCGGGTATACCAGACGCATAAATATGTGAAACATTTAATTTTTGTGGCAACGTATCATGGCTATAGGAAATACCAAAAGGTCGAAGTGTGTATAGGAAATATTCCAGGACATAAAAATAATCTGGAACTATATAATGAAAAGATATAGCATGCGGCGAACAACAGGACACATTCTGCAAAAACAAAAAAAGAACTCTGAGAAGTGATATAACTTTGGAAATTTTTAACGGATTTACTTTTTCTGGTTCGTGTTTAACCCATTTTATATACCAATCAGTAGTTGGCTGGGGATAGAGATCAACCGGTGGCAATGGTATAAAACGCTCCAAACCCTTCTCATCCCTTGAATCGCCAGCAATGACACCAATATTTTCCATGCAAAAGCCCAACTGTTCGTCCTCGGCTATGGTCTTGTAATTGCAGAGACGTTGATTGTTATAGGCCTCAGTAATGAATTTTGTCAGTGCACTTTTACTCAGAACATAACCCGCTCCACCGGACATATATCCCTGGAAAGGAGAAAATTATTGTTATCAATTACAAATACTACCTCTTGTATATAACTTACTTGTTTAATATATCTGTCAAATTTACAACCAAAATATATGGGTATGTCTGGAGAATATTGATATAAGAAATAGCGCAGATTCTCCATTATAACATATCTGAAAATAAATTAATATTAATAATATGCAATAATATATAGAGAAATATTTTTAAATTGTAGCGGAAACATACAAAAAACCGAATATGTCATACGACCAGAGAAACCATGTCAGCCAAATCGATTGGAAAATATGACAAAATTAAATGGAAAACATAAACAAAACATAAACCAGTAAAAAAAGATCAAAAGTCGGGCGAGGCCGACTTTATGATACCCTACAACACCATAATTATAAAGCAGAGAGAGAGAGAGAGAGAGAACATAAATGTTTATATAGGGAATTTATGAGGATTTTGACTTTAGAACAGTTTAGAGTGGAACGTATATCCTACTGTAAATCGGTTTCCGCTAAATTAGACGGAGGCATTTGTGACTGAACCGATTTTCACCAAATTGGATATACTTGGGGGATTTAAATACCAAATCGGATGAAACATATATATGGAAGCTACAGCTATATCTGAACCGATTTTCACCAAAATTTGAAGTACTTCCTTCTAGACTGACTTCTAGTCGGAAGTGCCAAAATTCACTCCAATTGCACTGATATTAACCCTGATCCTGATTAACTCCAATTGGACTGATATTAATCTGCTGCACAGTAAACGTGAAATCGGTTGAAGTTATATAATGGAGCTATATGCAAATCTGAACCGATCTTGATAAAATTGGAAAGTTATGACTGTGCTGTATCTAATACTTGGTACCATATATCATTCTTGTCGAGTGCTTATTATGGATGTGAGGGACAAATCGGATGAAACATATTTATGGGAGCTACAGTTATATCTGAACCGATTTACAGCAAATTTCATGTATTTCACTGAATTCGGTCGGTAGTATATCCCCCATATAACGGCACCTTCCGATATTTGGTATTTTTATGAATTTAGCCACAATTTTCATGGAATTGTCTGAAAATCCACACAAGGAGTTCCTTGTGAGTACTTTGTCCCCTGGAAGAGAATCATCTATATAGTTCCACGGTATCGTATAGCCCCCATATAACGGTACCACTCGATATTCGGTATTTTGATGATTTTAGCCACATTTTTCAATGGAATTGTCTGAAATTCTTTGCCGGTACTTTACAGTCTGTAAGAGAATTATCTGTATAGGTCCACGATATTGTAAATCTCCCATATAACGGTACCTTCCGATTTTCAATTTTTTGGTGTTTTAAGTCAAATTTTTCGATGTAGTTGTTTGAAAATCCACACAGGGAGTTCCTTCTAAGTGCTTTACCCCCTGAAAGAGAATGGCCTGTATAGGTCCACGGTATCGTATATCCTCATAGAACGGTACCTCCCGATATTCGTTATTTTGGCGATTGTAGCCACATTCTTCAATGGAATTGTCTGAAATTCCACACAAGGAAGTCCTTCTGAGTACTTTATCCCCTTCTGAGTACTTTGCGCCCTGGAAAAGAATTTTCCATATATGTCCACGATATCGTATAGCCCCCATATTACGGTACCTCCCGATATTTTATATTTGGATGTTTGAAGCCAAAATGTTCAATGGAATTGTCTGAAAATCCGCACAAGGAGTACCCAGACGTTACCCTCTAGGTCCACGATATCGTATATCCCCCATATAACGGTACCCAACCCCATTTTCGGAATTTTGATTATGTTATACACATTATTAACCGGAATTGTTTCAAATTTGATGATATCAGCGACATTATTCAACGGAATTGTTTCAAATGTCGTATTTAAAGTTCGGAATCGGTACTACAGCCAATGCCAATAAATTACTTATACATGTCGTTCGTATAGCCCCCATATAACGGTTTCATTTAAATGATATTTTCAGACGGATTTTTTTAAAATTTTTCAAGATCCTTCACAATGGTGGAGGGCACTAAAAGTTCGGCCTTGTCGAACTTTACTGCTTTTTTACTTTTTTTTTTTGTAATTTTTTTTTTGTTTTTGAGAATTATAAAAGAAAGAAAATTACTTCCAGTGTAAAGATAAAATACTTCAGATGAATTCACATAAAAAATTATCAACGATTATTTGAAAAATTAAATTTTCGAAGTCGAGTTTTTCCACGACTATAATTCAACTCCACAGCCCTGGTAATAACAGACATTCTTTTACGTAACTTTTTATGCGAAGATGTATGGTTGTATGGTATAACACCCCGACCATAGCATTTTTTATTTATTTCGCACTACATTGAAATCTCCCCATATACCAAATAGGCTATTGTTCTGTGTTTCAATTTTCTCCTCACATTAACTACAAACCACATACATTCATATGTTTTCTCTTGCTCAACATCTTAAACATTATGAGATTCTCTGTTTAATTAGCAGAATTATAGATTTAAAGTCATAATGATGCTTATCGTTTTATTAAACTTCAAATATGATATTGCATAATTATAACTAAAGAGTGTGGTTGCAGGAAGAGTGAAACAAATAAACTCGGCATAGACCATTTGTGGTTAACCACAATCCTTTGGTGCTGAGTACTGTTGGAATGTCCAAGGCCTGCGGGCAAAAAGGTTTTCGATCCCAAGGCTTTAATACACCCTCCAGAATATTTTTGCGATAATATTCGGCATTTATTCTGATACCACGTTCGATTAATACGAGCGAAGAGCGACCATCGGCTGTTATGGCGGCCCATACCATCACCATGGCTGGCTGGCTTGAGTTTTGGTGCACATTTTCAGCTGACCTCTTTGGCAAGTAAACCCGATCATTCTGTTTGTTTACAAACTGCTGGACAACGAATGTTTTCTCATCGGAGCAAACCAAATTCGGCAGTTCACCACTTTCGGCCAAGCGAAGCAACTCTTTAGCTCTTTTGTGTCTATTTTCTTTCAGTTGCGGTGTAAGTTCTTGTACTTTTTGGAATTTCAATGGCTTTACCCCGATCTCATTTTTCAATATTTGCCGAATGGAATGTTGAGATTTGTTCACCTCACGAGCCATTTATCGGCCACTGCGACGCGGGTTTCGATCAAGTTGCTTCTTTACTTTTCGAACCATTTCTGCTGATGTTGCTGTTTTCTTCCGTCCACTTCTTTGACGTCGGGCTACCCTACCAGTATCACGTTAATGAGCAATGGTACGAGACACAAAAGATTTATTCACATTTAAATGCTGGAGTGCTTTAACGATAGCCACTTGTATTTTTGCAGCCAAATATAAAGACAACACACTATCACGCTTGAATTCCATCACGAATAACTATTTTTCTAGAAAATTCTCATCAAAATGCTTTTGTACGCTTGTGAACATTATAATGAGCTGCCACTGGAATAATTTTAACAGCTGTCGGACGAGTGGTTTTGATATGACAGCAGTCTGAAGTTGGTTGCAGTTTTTTCATCTCACCCTGGATATTAGTATTAAATGTGTGGCCAGCCCAAGTAGCTATTAGAATGAAATTATTTTAAATTATAAACCAGAGGGATTGTACTTTCAAATAAATAATAATTTTGAGAAAATATTCAGTAGCTGTGTGTAGAATTTTCAAAAAAAGATAAAGCTATAGCTATATCTGAACCGATTCTTACCAAATTTAATGTACTTGCTTCTTGACTGAATTCGGTCGAATGTGCCAATTTTCAGGTTACTTGGACTGATATTGGCCATTTGGTGCAGAATTAACCCGAAATCGGTTGAAGATATACATGGGAGCTATATCCAAATCTGAACCGATCTTGATACAATTCGGCAGAGGCATTTCTGGGCTGGATCTGATGAAACATCGTTTTTGTGGGGTGCATATTACGAATGTGACACCAAATCGGATGAATCCAAACAGACAAATGCAATAGTACCCTTACCACTAAGTGAAGCAATTCAAAATTAAACAACGCAGGTCGAAACTTGCAAGTTTCAAAAAAGGGACGCTTGGCCTGGGGAAAAGGTCTAACATTTTTAAAGTCGTTAATTTACTTTATTAACCGCAAAGGACATATCCGATTTCGCTCAAACTTTGCACATGTTGATATTTTAATTAGCGGTAGGTCAGATGAGAAAATAGGCGACATTGGTTCACTGCTTCTTTGGTAAATCAAAGGGGTTAACGTTTCCAATAATAATTGTCAAGAAGAATACCTAAAATGCACGGTTTCCAAGGTAGCCTAATCGGAAAACAGGTGACAGAGGGCAGAACTTGTGCACTCTTTTTAGGTTACTTTGCGATGAACATTTTCAAAACGCCGATACATGTGTCTTCTATGATTCATAAAAAAATAGGCCACCACCGTATCTAAATCATAGAAACCAACAGTGACCTCAATACCAAAATTTAGGGTTAAAGCTCTATCCATTCACTCAACGGCAAATTAAGTATTATTAATTTAGTATTTTCCGAACGTATTCCCAAATCAATCAATGTCCTTTTCTCAAAACTATATTCCAAAAGTGGCCTACATATCAAATTTCAGAATTCTAGCTCTACCCCAAGATCCAATCCCAAATATATTATCTTACTTTTCGTATAATTTCGAAAAGTAGCTCCTTCTTTCATCCATAGACACTAACAGTGACATCCATATGAAATTTCAGGATATTCCTATTCCTTCACCCAATACTAAAATCAATAGCATTTAGTACTCATCGCATTTTCAAAACAATATCCATATCTCAAACACAGATACCATTACTAATCTAAGTATCATATTTCAAAATTGTGTCTCTATCCCTTCACTCAATACCGAATGTGTTTTTGGTACAAATATTGGTCACATTTCCGAAACCACATCCATATGTCCAGGCTACACATGAACAGCGGCCGTAATACCACATTTCATATTTCAAGCACTATTTGTTCACCCAGTAACAAATTGTACCAAATAGTGTAATATTTACTACTTTTCGTACACTTGTGTGTAGTGTGTACTTCCAAAACCACTTTTTAATCACAAACCAACAGGGATTATAGCTTCATCTGTTGACCCTAAACCAAACTGTTCCAAATGTAGTACTATTTAGTACAGTTAACACATTTAGTACTCATTTCCAAAACCATCTTCCATCTTCATCTCTTATATATATATATATATATATATATATATATATATATATATATATATATATATATATATATATATATATATATATATATATATATATATATATATATATATATATATATATATAATATATATATATATATATATATATATATATATATATATATATATATGGGAGCTATAGCTACATCTGATCCGATTTTCTCAAATTTGATGTACTTGCTTCCAGACTGATTTTTGTCGGATGTGCTAATATTCAGGGCATTTGGACTGATATTGATATCGATTGAGGATATGTATGGGAGCTATATCTAATTTTGAACCGATTTTCACCAATTCCAATAGGGTTCGTCATTGGGCCAAACAACTATTGTTTGGCAATTTTCATCTCAGTCGGATAATAAATGAGATTTACATTTTGTTCACAAAAAAAAAAAAAAGATGGACGGACGGATGGATTGATTCTATGAAGATGCTCAAAGTAACTATGGCTCTATCTATCTTGCTTCCTTCTCCATGTTACAAACAAATCCATAAACAAATAATATCCTTACGACTATGTGGTGTAGGGTATAAAAACTCTGGTAATATTGAAACTTAGTTTTCGATTTTGTTCAAACTTTTCATATCGCAATTTCATTCCATGATGGGGAGTTACAAAAAAGGTGTTTCAAAATATCAATCCAAATATATATTCCTTATCTTTAATTCATTAGAATTTGTCTACTGTGAGTTGTTTTACTTGTTTTCCTTTTTATTTTAGCACAGTTCGTGAAATGGAGCGGCAGTTAAATTCGTTCGATGCAGGTAAGTGTTGCTGTTGTTGTTAGAAAAAATTAGGAACGGAAACTACTTTATATCGCATTTTGTTGTCGTTGACCATAAATATCAATGTTTTATTGCTGCTGCTCATTCATGTTTAGCTTTTGTTTGTTGTTATTGTCGTTATTAATGCTTTCGGTAAGAACTTTTATTTCGCCATAACCGGTTCCCCGGCGTTCTGGTTAAATTAGAATCAACGAGATTTAGACGTTTCTCTAAACAAATAACCGAAAAGTAAAGTTTTTTTTTTTTTCAATTTGAACAACTTACGTATCATCATCGGCTTTCAGAAACCAGTCGGCATCATCCAGGTGATTATCGTAGATGTATTTCAGACCCATTTTGGTTTTGAACCACAAATATTCACGACCTTCGTCAACCGGCAGGGGAACTGTTTGCAAAACACTGTCTGCCTCGGAACTGATGAAGAGTAATTTATTGCATCGACGTCCCCATGTCCGACGAATGTGTATGGCTTTGGTCAAATGGTTGGCGGGATTGGTGACAATCCAACAGAGTACTCGTGTTGTGTTGAACAAATACTCCCCCATATTTGTGGTGGTATCTATTTCTTCGGATACGTTGATGTTATTATTTTCTTGTGTGAGTGACCCGATTTCTGGCACATAGTCCTTGTTTCCGTATTGCCCTATGGCCAACGGCTGACACTGGGTCGCACGAGTATTCAACCACATAAGGGTGTAATAGACACCCATTGTGAAACCGATTACAATTATTGTTACATTTCGATAAACCGAAGTTTTTCCCGTAGTTTTTTGTTTGTTCATTGTCTTATATCAAGGATCGGAAATATTATTTTGTCTTCATATTTGTGTTGTTGTTTTTTTTTTGGTGTCACTTTTACTTTCTCTGGATTTTTTGGATTTCTCAATGCGGTCTATAAATATTTCCGTTCACAATGGCTGTCAAAAATAAAATGGCAAGTCGAATGCAGATGGCTGCAATGCTTTTGTGTATTGCATTTAATTTAATGACTTTGCTTGAAAAAAAAAAAACTGGAAATATTACGGAAAAAAAATGGAACAGTTAGAATAACGTTTATTAAAAGATTTAAAATCTTAAAAATTTGATTTTTTTGGTTAAGTTAATTAAATATGTTGAATTAGGATTTTTTTAATGAGAACTGCAAGAATTTAAAAGTTACTCATTTTCATCGAAAAAAAATTGCAAAACTAGTAGATCCTTGCTGGTTCTGGAACAGAGCAAATATGTTCTGAAATTTTTAGATTCGTCCCAATAGTTCGAGTAAGGTCTTCTTAGCACTCAAAATACACAATCTGTTCAGTTTGACAAGTTTTTAATCAAAACTTCATACATCGTACTAACATTTCAGACTTTTAAAGGTTTTCAAATTAATTCAAATTTTTCTTTATCTGTAGAGAATAATAGGAACATATTTACACTTCACACCGAAAATTCTTCAAAATCTTTCATTTTCTAGATTACCGAAGAAGGTATTAGTAAGACCATTGGACCCACATTCAATTTGTCTGTCCAAATCTATTGAACGTCCCTATACGAAAACCACATCCTGATCTCAACACCAGTTACCAACAGAGACCTCAATATCAAATCTCGAGATTTTAATACTTTTCGTACAAATTATGGCACACATTTCCAAAACCACTTCTACGGGGTGAGATAAAAAAAAACTGCAACAAAGTAAAACGCCATAATTCTTACATTTTTTTTTAATTTATTGAATGAAAGGAAAAAATGTCGAAAATTGCGTCAAATTTTAGAATCAGTTTAGATTTGTTCGGATTGGTCACCTTTGGCACGAATTATGGCCCTCAAACGGCCAATGAAACCGTCACACGCTGCCCGAATGTTGCTCTGCGGTATTTTGGCCCATTCTTGGCGAGGTGATCGATACTTTGGTATTTTTAAGTGCCAAAATATTCCAGACACAATAGTCCAACGGATTAGTATCCGGAGATTTTGGTGGCCATTGTGCGCTGGAAATGAAGCGAGGAACCTCATTTTGTAACCATATTTGGGTGGCGCGTATTGTGTGCGATGGTCCTGTTGGAATTTCCAAGGTCTGCGGCCAAAATGTTTGCGTGCCCAAGGCTTTAATACATCCTCCGCGGTCGATTAATACGAGCGGAGAGCGACCATCGGCTGTTATGGCAGCCCACACCATCACCATGACCGGCGCTTGAGTTCTGGTGGCCAACCGAAGGTGCACATTTTCAGCTGACCTCTTTGGCAAGTAAACACGATCATTTTGTTTGTTTACAAACTGCAGGACAACGAATGATTTCTCATCCGAAAAAACCAAATTCGGTAGTTAACCACTTTCGGCCAAGCGAAGCAACTCATTAGCTCTTTTGAGTCTATTTTCTTTCTGTTGCGGTGTAAGTTCTTCCACTTTTTGGAATTTCAATGGTTTTCCCCCAAACTCATTTTTCAATATTTGCCGAATGGAATATTGCGATATATTCAGCTCACGAGCCATTTTTCGGCCACTGCAACGCGGGTTTCACCCTTTCTTTGCTTTTCGAACCATTTCTGCCGATGTTGCTGTTTTCTTCCATCCACTTCCTACGCTACCAGTATCACGGTAACGAGCGATGGTACGAGACACAAAAGATTTATTCACATTTAAATGCTGGAGTGCTCTAACGATAGCCACTTGTGGTTTTCCAGCCAAATATAAAGAAATCGCACTATCACGCTTGAATTCCATCACGAATAACTTTTTTTCTGGAAAATTCTGACCAAAATTCTTTTGTGCGCTTGTAAACAATATAATGAGCTGTCACTGCAATAATTTTAACAGCTGACGAGTGGCTTAGAAGTGACGGCAGTCTGAAGTTGGTTGCAGTTTTTTCTTCTCACCCTGTATATTTCAATTCCAGATATCAACATGATATTGAGGTCTCTAATATCATATTTTAGGAGTCCAGCCCAACCCCTTCAACCAATATCAAATTTCATGCCATTTAGTACTTTTCGTACAATTATAGGACGCATTTCCAAACCATCGCCGAATCTCAAACACATATACCAACAGTAGTCTTAATAACAAATTTCAGAATTTGATCTCTACCCCTTCACTCATTACCAAATATAGTACAATATTTTTGGTGCAATTATATATTATGCTTTATCCGTTCACCCTAAACCAACCCGTTCCAAATTTAGTGCCATTTAGTACAGTTCGCACACTAGTTACGCATTTTCAAAAACACCTTTATATCTCAAACTTACTTTCCAACCTTAATCTGTTCACATAACACCATGTGGTAGCATTTTAGAAGTGTAGTACCAGTTTAGAACTTTTCGTACCCAAAAACCCTTTAGTACATCTATCATGCACTCCATCAGTGACTCTCATTCCAAATTTCAGAATTCTAGCTCATTCCGTTTGTCCAATAAAAAGTATTTAATATTTATTAAATATCTCAACACTACACACCAATACCAACTCCTACACCAAGGTTCAGAAATCTAACTCTTCGCGTACAATTAATACTAAATTTTGTATCATATATTAACTTTTGTATCCTTGTAGTACTTATTTCTAAACATAATTCTAAATTTCAGGACTCCAGCTCTTTAGGTTCCAATATCACAAGTCTAGACTCCCACAGTAATCCCAATTCCAAGTTTCAGGATTCCACCCCTTTCGTTTCGTCCAAATACAATTTTACCAAATTTAGTACCGTTTAGTACACATAAGTACGATTTTCCGAAACTTCCTGCACTCAAACAGTAATTTTATTTCCAAACTTTTCTAGATCTATCGGTTCAACATAATATGATTTGTACCTAATCTAGTACCATTTAGTACACTTCAGTACGTGTTTCACAAAGTTCCTACATAACTCAATCCTAATCTCCAACAGTAATCCTTATACCAAATTTCAGGACTAAAGCTCTATCGGTTCACCAAAATCCAAATTGTACCAAACTTAGTACAATTTAGTACACATAAGTATAAAATTCCAAAACTTCCTACGTACCACAGTCAGGATTTCACCCCTATTGGTTCGCTTAAATACAAATTGTACCAAAGCTAGTTCCATTTAGTACAAATAAGTACAAATTTTCATAACTACCTTCTTCATACAATTTAACCAAATTTTTCGTAAAATATAAATTGTACCATTTAGTACACACAATTTCAGGATTCCAACACACTCGGTTCCCCCAAATCGAAATTGTACCAAATTTAGTACACAACAGTGTGAATTTCCAAAACATCATTCCTACAATGCAGTATTATTTTCTTTTAAATTTCAGAATTACAGCTCTCTCGTTTCCCCCAAATCGAAATTGTACCAAATGTAGTACCATTTTGCACTTTTCCTGCATATCCAAATCCTACACTCCGCCAGCCTCATGGCTAGAGAGGGTATATATCACTTGATACGCTGAAAACGTGCCTAGTCGAAATAACGGTTTTAGATCCTAGGTCTCTTTGGACCAAATCCGTTTCAGAACATTTGGAGTCGATCTAGCGATGACCGTCCGTCTGCCTGGCTGGTGCGCACGATAACTCTCAAAGGGGGTATCCGATTTGGTCCAAACTTGGTACATCGTAATATTTTTGTAAAACTTAGATCGAGTTCGGAAATGGGCAATATCGGTCCAATCATTCTGGTACCTCCCCACAAATGGTCGAAATTTTTAAAAAAATATATTTTCTGCACAGTAAGAAACGATAATCAGATGTTGCCCCAATGTACAAAATACTTTGTACATACTTTTGAGTGCGGTTGAGGCGCTGGGAAAAAACTAGCAATAAACAATAAATATTCAAAAATTACATATTTCCCAGCCGTCATAAAATACCACATGTGAACAATTCGGTGATCTTGTGCGCTGACACATACGATAATGTGTCAGATAATAAAGGTTATGACCCACACGCACAGATATCGATGCGCTCAGTAGATGCACAAGATCACTTGAATGAAATGGAAAGCAGCCCTGCAATGTTCTCCATTCAATATTAGAATAGATAATAACAATTGTGTGGCTGCGACTAGGTTAAGTTAGATTAGTTTCAGTAGTACGTAAGGAACAAATATTTTAAATAAAAACAGAATTGAATCAACAGCCACACCGTTCGGTTGGTTTTCTCTTCTCACTCACCCAACTTTACAAATCCTAATATTTGCATCAGTGCTAGCTCAGGTGCGAAAATGGAAAATATCGGTCCACTCCATCAAGTACTTCCCCCCCAAAGGGTCAACATTTTAACTGATTACAACTCTAATAAAATGTGATGTTAGAGTTCGATTGTTTTTAAATTTCACACATGCCAATAAATTTATTAGCTCAAGGTCTGGAGTTAAGATGGAATATATCGGTCCACTCCTACTGGTACCTCCCCTACAAAGGGTAAAAATTTTAATAATTACAGAGTTTATAAAACTTGAAATAAGAGTCCGGTTATCTTCAAATTTCGCATATTCAATATTTTTACTAAAAAAAAGGTTTGGTATGAAGGACGGATTGAACGGACCACTCCTTCTAGTACCTCCCCCACAATGGTTCAAACTTTGGAATAATCAAAAATGTGCATCTGATTACTTTCAAACTCGGCACATCCCAATACTTCCATCAAGATAAGATGTGTTGTGAAGATGGAAAATATCGGACTACTTCTTCTGGTACCTCCCCCACAACGGGTCAAGATAGTACAAAATATCAATAAAATACCATAAAAAATAATTATTACGAAATTTTCGAAATATCAAATGTCTCATATAAATATAAAATCCAAATCTGATACATTTCAATATTTTTGTCAGACTTATGTCAGATACGAGATGGAAAATATTGACCCACCCCTTCGGAACCTCTCCTATGCGGGTATGCAGCTGTCGGCAATACCGACTGATATCATTTAACTTGTTTTACTGTTTTATTAATATAGATTCAGTCATAAAAAAGTGATTTAAGGAGTTATGACCATTGTTCAAAAGAACA